ATGAACATTCGTAGTCTAATGATAACATTACCTGTTTTCTCTTTTTTTCGGAGAATGTAGAATAAACGTGTTTTAGGAATGGGAAAAAAATAACACCGCGGGTGTGTTGATTTATGCCACGCTGCAAATATCCTTTATGTTCTGCATCTTCATAGTTTGTTACATTGGTCAACTTCTCGTCGACGAAGTACGCTATCATTTTTCCCTGCACTCTGCTTGATCTTTTTTAAATGTTATCGTGATGGTCCTGTTAACAGAATAGGTTTGTAGGACAGACATCAGGCATGATCAATTATTATCACCTTTCGACCAAACATATGCGTTCTTTGATACTGATTATCGCTATGTCTAATCACCCGATGAAATTGATGGCTGGCAAAATGGCTGAAATATCTCTAGCCACATTTACCGACGTAAGTAACATACGTTTCAAGTTAACTTACATCTTATTATATCTTTCATGAATAATGTTCCTTAGGTGATGAAAATGTCAATGGGATATTTGAACATTCTACGCGAGATTGTTTAAAGTATCTTGTTACAGTACTTACGATATATCCATGAGAGATGATAATTCGTGACAATTCAAAATTCATACAGGAACGTATCCTCAATCGCAACGCTGTGTTAGTTTTGTAATAAAAGCTAATCTCCTTGGTTTCTCTCTCTCTCTCTCTCTTCTTTTCTCCGTGCATGTTTTTCACCCTGCATTTGATCCAAGCTTCCCTCGAGGAAAGGAGTTTCACAAACAATCGAAAAATCATTTTTCATCGCGTCGGTAGGAAAAAATAATGTCCACGTAGCGTGTTTGTGGACATTTCAAACCACGTCATATTCATGTTCCCCTATAATGCATACGAGAATACGATAATTATAGGCTTGCCGGCAGTTCTCTGATTTTCCAACTAGTAATAATCCATTTCGAGACATAACATTTATCGTCAAGTGCGGTGACTAAAAATACACCGATGAGAAGGGAGAAACACCCTCTGATTTTCTCCTTCTTGTTCACGGCGCAAGCGCGTGATCCAATGAAACTTTTCGATTCGACCTGAGTCATCAACGAAACTGACATCAGTGATTCTCTTGCACCCGATGTTCGAGGATGATCGAGGGAAAGCTCGCCGCCGCGGAGAGATTCCGCAATCTAAGTTACAAGGACGACCTGAGTTTCAACGTGAAGTTCAACCTGTGGACGTTGAAGACAATCGGCACGTGGCCAAGATCACTGAATCATTCTTTCCTCGACACGATCCAACATATTATTCTGAACCTTCTCTGTTACGGTCTACTCGCGTTCATCCTGATCCCCTGTAGCATGTTCATCGTCCTGGAGATCAAGGACTTTTACAATCAGCTGAAGCTCGGCAGCGCGCTCAGCTTCTTCATGATGGCGGTGATGAAGTACTGCGTATTCATTGTCCGCGAGGCTGACATACGCAGATGCGTGAACCTGATCGAGAACGACTGGAAGAACGTGAAACACGAGGAGGATCGTAAGATCATGTTGGAGAACGCGAGCTTCAGTCGTCGATTGATCGTGATCTGCGGCGCTTTCATGTACGGAGGGGTGATCTTCTATTACATCGCCCTGCCGCTCACTCGAGCAAAAATCGTGGAAGAGGGCGGCAATCTGACATACAGAAGGCTGGTCTACCCTTTCCCCAAGGTTCTCCTCGACGCTCGCCACAGTCCCATCAATGAAATTTTCTATACTATACAGCTATTCTCTGGCTTCGTGGCTCACAATATCACGGTCGCTGCCTGCGGCTTGGCTGCCCTTCTCGCGATGCACGCCTGCGGCCAGTTACAGGTTTTAATGTCTTGGCTGGAGAAACTGGTAAATGGAAGGGAGAACGACGACGAAAGTTTGGATCAGAAGTTGGCTAACATCGTGGAGCAACATGTCCGGATAATCAAGTAAAGTTATGATGTAATATATATATTATCCCGGATAATTCGAATGAAAATTATTAAGATTATATATATTATATATGATATATAAATATATGATATTACAATACATTATACATGATATATAATATTATACACAGTGTCCCATATAAAGCTAACTATGCAATTTTCTATTAAGTTATTCGCTGTAGAGAAAAATATTTCAAAAATATAACTTACCTTGTATGTTGAAATGTTTGTGAAAGTTGAAAAAATTGTTTCAAATGAAACGAGAGTTTTCCAATGTTTCGGAAGTAATTTGTTAGAAAACGTCGCTTGCATGATTCTTCGTATTATGGGGAGTAGTGTGTTCTTCCTGATTTTTTTGGAAAACCTTACAAGAAACATATCTTGCAACTATCGCCTACAGACAGAATAAATTAGTGTATTAATAATGATCCAAGGTCGTCATTTTAAATATCACAGATAAGGAACAATGGATGCTTGACATCAGCTACAAGACTCAAAAATATAATACAGTTCCATCTAAAAAATCAAAGCCACCATAAAATGTCCCCCTCGAAACAACGCAAGTTTCATTTAAAACATTTTCCTATGTGGCGAACAGTTTATGAGAAAATTGCACGGTTAACTTCATACGAGATACCCTGTATATTATACATTTAAATTATTAACTATAATAATGTAATGTAATATTTAAAAGAATTACTGTATTTATTACAATCTTTTAGTTTCATAGCTCTCACAGAGAATCTGTTGCACGAGATATCACTGGTAGAGGTAGTGGGATGTACGTTGAACATATGTTTCCTTGGGTATTACTCAATGATGGTAGGATTCGACGAAGCAACGTTTGAAAATAGCGAATCAAAGTCATCAGTTTGGAATTTCTTCCCTAGGAATGGGATCCAAAGCAACCAGTGAGCGGCGTGACGTACATAATATTGCTCATATCTGTCACGTTTAACATTTTCATATTCTGTTATATCGGCGAGCTTTTAGCAGAACAGGTGACCATCCCTCTTCAATTCGATAATATTTTCCCGCTGATTTCCGAATGTTAAATTTACTGTAATACAATAAATTCATGAACGTCGATCAATTTCTTGGCTCCGATTATTTGTATTATTTTCAACTTACAAAATATTACATATAATGTATATTTACCAGACAATCAAGGTCGGCGAGAAGTCTTACATGATCGATTGGCATCGAATCCCGTGGAGGAAAAGTCTCGCCATACCTTTGATGATCTCGATGTCCCGTTCAACCACCAAGCTCACTGCCGGCAACATCATCGAGCTTTCCATCAGTAGCTTCGGCGACGTAAGTGCTTCATAAGTATCCATACTGTAAATATCAGTTTTTATTTATCAGCAAATTTTCGTCGAACAAATAGGTGATCAAATCCTCGGTCGCGTATCTGAACATGCTACGAACGTTCACGACATAGAGCTACGTTTAAAGCGACATTAAAAATGATTGATGTAAACTGATACTGCGATTCACACATTGAATATTAGAAAGAACATAGATATGCAGAATATATTACACATACATAATTATGTTATATCAT